TTGTAATTAATTGTTGCAGAAAAATTGAAACCGAATTTTATGGAACTTTTTTTGGCGATATATATCATGGTCTTATAGAACTTACTGAAATAATACTGCCTTACGACAAGTAGTTTAATTTTAAAAATTCATCAAAGGTTTTTTTGACGTTTGTTAAAATTAAAATTAGACGATTTACTTTTTTATTTATTAAATGACATTTATACAATTATAAATCTATATATTATATACAATAAATACAAATTTTTTTAACTAAAATATGATATGTCATCCAGATCGACGTTTGGTTGGTCAGCATCACTGGTATTAGTATCAATAGAGTGGCTTTCACTATTGCTTGTGGAAGTAGCATATAAAGATTTCTTCATTTTACAAAATTCATCTTTAGATGGTTCGTAACCAACGCAGTTATGGTTGATTCGCTGACTACTTAACAATAGCCCGTTAAGTGTATTAGTTACCAATTTGTTGCGTGTTTGGCATTTTATTAATCCAATCTTGCTAAATATTCGCTTACATTCGGCATTAGCATGAGGTAATGACATAACATTTAAGAAAAATTTAGCTAAGTTTTCAAAACTCCAAACCTCTTCCTTATCTTTGTAAATTAAAATTTTGTGCCAAAAATGATCTTCTGGATCATCAAGACTAATGTCATCCGGCAATTCAAAATTCTGGAATTTTCGCCATTCATTATCAATAATTTGACTTTGGCTTGGGTTTAATAATCGGGGCAGTTTACTCAACAATGGAAGCAAACTTGGCGTAGTGATTACTGTTTTACCATTCATTGCCTCCGCAGGATCCATTACTGATAAATTTTTCAATATAGTATCATTGAAATCGAATCGTTTTTTTTATTTCTTCACATCTTCGAATTATAAACTTCCTGAATTTTGCAAGAAAATGTAATTTTTCTTGTAAACGAGGATGTTTTGAAAAGTCTGCTTGATTAAAATATTTAAAAACTTCTACTCCAACATAAATATTTTGAATATTCTTAAATTTAGTCTGATCCGATGGTTCAATATTATATATGGGTGTTTTATTTACGTAGTCATCATCCATATATGTTTTTAATAAATCCTATAAAATAAAATAAAATATGTCATACTAATTTTCTTATGAACTGACATAATAATAGGGTTTTCGGACTGGAATAACTTGTTTAAATTCGTGAAGTTAGGTAAAATCCACAATAAAAAATGATAGTAGAGCTTTATTATGGGATTTCGCAAGTATTGAAGTATTCTTGCAACTTCATATTCATTTTCATCTGTTCCACCACTATCATCTTTTTTTCTTTTACTCATCTTCCTGTATTCCTCTTCATAATTTAATTGATTGAAATATAAAATTAATGCCTTCCACTCGTTCTACCACTGCTCGAAGTGATAACTAGCGGGTCTGAGCAGGTTGTAAAATTTTATGCTGTTTCAAATCCAAAATCGATTGAATTCTTTTGTATGCATATTGGCGTTTTGAGCTCACTGAAAAATGATTATGAACCAGCTGTGGTAATTTCTCACATTCTGGGGGTAATTCAGTAATGAGTGACACAGGCATTTCATTATGTAAATTCTAGGACATCTCTGCTCAAATCGTTCTTACTGAGTTTTTATCCCCCATCATAGTATCACACCCATCTGATCCAAGCCCAATGATATTTGTGAGTGGAACTGAGTATTTTTCAAAAGATTTCTCAACGCAGTTAAAAATATGTTTTGCTGATGCTTCAGATGATTTATCTTCTTCATTAAAAATCTGATACAACACCCAAAAGCGACTGGTGATTTTGCCTGGCTCAGCATCATAAAATCTAACAACAATGCATAAATTTTGTGTCCTAGAAATGTCAGTTGACTCGTCATTTAGAACACTAAATAATACATTTTTTAACTTTATAGATAAATCTTCTTTTTCAGTTGCTCCAATTACGTTTGACACTACAGCAGCAGACTTTCATGATTTTAACCTCAAATCCTGGGCGATTTTTGAATCTGGAAAGCAATCTTTTAAAAGAGGTGTCAGGTGGTCCATTAACCGAAAAGGAAGATTGTGCTCAGCTAGAAATTCACAAAGTTTTATTTCTGCACGTGTTGCCTTGTTATCAAATGATGTTTCCACTTTTTTTTGAGTAAATGATTGAATTGATTTTTGATTCGAAGCCGAAGTGATTGATGACAAATGACTTTTAGATTTGTCATGATTTTTAATTACCGTGAGCTCAGCAGTAAACGATGTATTACATAATCTGCATCTAGCTTTAAACTTGTTTGATACATCTGGCATTAACCACGTGTTGAACTTTGTATCATTCATCCATTCTCTCAAAAATTTTTGCTTTCTACGTGCATAAAGTTTCGGCTTTTTAGCCTGTAGTCTTCTTGTATCTTCATCAGAACTTATGTTCCTCATCTTGTTCGAAATCGAATAAATAAAATACTTTTAAAAATACAAGCAGAAACTACTAGCTATACCAATTGATTTGTAAATAATTACCTGATTTAGCACAAAAAATATTTTTCAGCGGATTATAATTTCAGTTGTAAATTACTGCAGCGCACAACAAATATAAATATCACAGAGCTCCAAACGATAAATGGCTTTCGAATCCAAACAACAAAAGTGTACATACAACAAAGATCACGTTACTGAGAGTGTAGGTACCATAGATAATGTAAAAAAGGTACATAGATATGCTTATTTATCTATGGTTGCAATTTCCACAACTAAATTTCGATACGGTGTTACGAACATATGCTTTATAAATATAATTAACATCCATTGCCTACAAGAGAGGGCAGCATAATACATAAAAAATATGATCGGTAAATTATCTTCATTTTACTGAATTATCGTGGAATGATGAGTTATCGTGAGGGTCGTATGTTCTAAATTATATGTTTTGTACGATACGTATGTGATAAATGCTAATTCTGCCGGCTGTTGACCACTAGTTTGCGCACGACTCCACTGTGGTGTCGCCGGACGGCATAGTGGTAGTAGTGTTGTTGCGTAGATGGGACCTATGCTCGAGTCGAAGGTACATTTGGGAAATTATACACGACAATACGAACAATCTATTACTTCGAAGGACTAGATATAATTTATTATTAAAATGGCTATATCAGCCTGATATAAAATAACTTAATTGAAAAATAAGTAAATATTTAGTATTTATTTGTAAGATGTTAATGGTTCAAGATATACGTGCAGAAGGATTGAGTTTTTTGCAACTAGCTAGTGCCTAGGGTATAATTATTTTATTACTCTAGGTCAGTGGTCGGGGAACTTTTGGAACCATTACCCCAAAATGTTTTTGTGCAACCTCTCATTACCGCACAAAAAATAACTAAAAGAGCCTATAATTGGAATCTGTTTGCAGCATATTTCTGTATAACCATCTTAACCCGCAGATTAACGGTTTGCTACATTGTTTGTTACTTCTAAACTTTGAAAAAGGCTGAGACAAAAGGTTTGAAGGAAACAATATAAGGAAACAAGTGAAAACTATATGTTTTATGAATAAATATATTTTTCATGATAATCCTCCTAATACATAAATAAACTAGTAGTGTATGGCATCATGCCTTAAGGTAAATTGCTGGAACTTTCCGCACCGTGACGAAATGTTCGAGGAATTTTAAATGTTTTCAATTAGATTATTATAAATACTGTAACATTGTATAATATTCATAAGATATATATAAGCTGAATTGCTTAGTTAAAATTATTTATTTGAAGTATATAAGTAAGTTTTAGAACTTTAGCCAGAATTAAAATAAAATCTGAATTATTTTCGATATACAAAGAAACATTTTTCGAAAAAAAAATTGAAATATTTTTCTTTTCCAAAAGCAATTGTTTTGTCAACACAAACAGCAAGTTTTTTTAATCATTTAAATCGGATGCTTAGGTTTCTCAAAAACAGCCATTTTTTGCACATTTAGCTCTGTATCTTCGACATGGCTGGACGTGTCTTTGCCAAAACCTAAGCACTACTTCTTCCAATCATTACAAATTGAATGTTTTTTGGATCACTCAAATGGGATACTCCGTTCTCTCAAAAACTTGATTTCTATTTTCTGCACTCTTTACTCCGTATCTCCGTAACGGCTGGACCTGCCTTTGCCAAATACTAATCAGCATATCTCCGCATCAATAGGAACCGAATGTTGAATAAACCATTCAAATCGGTTAATCCGTGCGCCCAAAAACATGAGCGAAAAAATGCGGACACACAAAACACACACGCACATCCATTTTTTCTGAGGTATGTTGTATGAGGCTGGGTTATTTTCCCTTACAAAAACTGAAAAACCATTAATATGACCCAGCATAGCTGGAGCTTTATCCAAAGACACCAAATTGCAGTTTTCCCATTTTAATCTTTGCGCTTTGAGCTATTCGTTTACTTTATTATAAATATTTATTCCAAGACATCTGAACTCGAGAAGAAAACAAAACAGCAATTCATTTTCAAAATTATCTACACCTTTATAGCAAACATATACCAGTTGTGAATTACTACTGAAATCCGTTGTCTCAAGCTGAATAGCAACATATTTAGTTTGTTTTAGTGCAAAAACTTCACATTTTTGCTAATGCAGAGATTCTTTTCGGTAGTAGGTTTTACTGATGCTATGATTTAGAACAAGCAAGATATTTAACTTGTTTTAGAGCAAAAACAACTTATTCCTTCACATTTTCTGCTAATCCAGAAATTCTCTCCGATAGTAGGTTTTACTGAAGCTGCTTTAGTGCTTCGCAAATACATACATTTTACCCCCAAAAATTCCACTTTTACCCCATTTGGGGTAATTTACTCCGGTTCCCCGACTACAGGTCTTGAGTCTAGACCAGTGATTCCCAACCTTTTTTGTGCTACGCACCACCTTAACGTTTCTAAAATCGTTATGCCCTCGGATTTTTCTAGATATTTAATGCGATAATTGAGCTTGATGTTTGCTACAGAATGATTTTATATTGGGTTTTAGTTAGCTAAGCTTTAATCTCAAATCTCCACGTTCTGTTATATCAAGTCTATTTCTTTTTTTTATCAATAAATCATTCACAGCACTAAATCCACATTCTACTAAATATGAAGTTGGAAACGGCAGGAAAAGCTTTCTTGTGCACTTGGTTATTTTTGGATATTTGGCTTCAATTTCTTGACAAAGCCATAGCATTGCCCCTTTCCTATTAAATAAAGTGTTTGCTGACTCATTATTTTGAAATTCAGCAAGTTCTTCCTGATACTGCATATCTGAAATATCAGTCAAATCCACTATTACTGGCTGCAACATCCATGCTGGGAAATCAATTTGTTTCAAATCAGAAAATCTCTCCTTCATGTCGACAGATACTTTATCCAGATGATTTGTCATTACAAGTAAAGCATTACTAGTTGCTTTACATTTTTGAAGCCAATGAAACTGCTCGAAATTTCTGTTGCCAACTTGTTTTATATACAATTCAATATTTGTAATGAAACCAAATATCTTCGCTTTCGCATCGACAAGTGTTTTATTTGGTCCTTGGAGTTGTTTATTTAATATATTCAATTTTTCAAATATATCTGTTAAATAACCTACAAACGCTTTACCATCGATAGTTAATAAAATCTTCATTTCAGGTTTGTCATTTAAAAATTCACTTAAAACATCGAAGAGTTGCATGAATCTGTTTAAGCAATTTCCTTTGGAAAGCCATCTTACTTCAGTATGAAGTAAAAGTCTAACATAGCTTTCATTTTGCTCTTCACAAAACAGCCTAAAAAGACGCTCAGATTTGGCACTGGCTTTAATAGCATTAATGCATTTTATAACTGCATGTAATACATTTTATAACTGCATGTAATACATTTTATAACTGCATGTAATACCTTATTTAGAACAGGAGAGATATTTTTTGCAACTAAGTGTATCTTATGATTTACACAATGCACAATAACTATTTCAGGATTTATATCTTTAATCAATTTCAAGCAGCCATTTTTCTTGGCCATCATGTTAGGAGCACCATCTACAGCACAAATGTTATATATTTCATAGATATGTTCTTCAATTCTAAATAGTTTTTTAACTTATTATATATGTCTTGGGATTTAGTAGTGCCTTCCAGTCTTTCCTCAGAAAATTGCCCTGCATCAATTAATTGTACATATGCCAGCAATACAGCCTCACTGTCTCTCAAGGTCGATCCATCCATTTGTATTGAAAAATATCTGGTTTTTAACTTATCAATTCATTGGTTATCAATATCGTCACTCATTTCGTCTATCCTTCTGCAAACAGTATTATTACTGAGTGGCATGGCTTTCACTTCTGTGTCATCTTTTTCTAAAACTGTTTTAAGAAATGCTGAAATTGATGGTTTTATCAAATTTTCTTCTATAGTGTGGTTTTTTCCACTTTTGCAAATTAATAATGAAATTTGATAACTCGCCTCAAGAAGACGACTGTTTGTTGAAGACCGTGCAGTAAATAGAGACGGCAATGTTGTTCTTTTCTCAAACTTTTTTTTTAAGTTTTAAAATAATTCAAATCTGAATTTACATGCTCACGATGTTTTGCCTTCAAATGTGCCTCAAGACGACCTGGTTTCATTGATTCGTTGCTCAAGCACTGATGACATAAGACAAAAGGGTATCCGCTTTTAAATATTCATTGGAATATTGACGAGTTTTTCTCTTATTTGTTTCACTCATTTTATTGTGAGCTAAAAATATTGTAAAACTGTTTGAAAATATGTGTTAAAAATATTTAAATATGGCAGAAGAAACAGTGAACGTATGGAGGTGTGGTCCATATTAAATACCATAATTATCCAAATTGTAGTAATAATAAATTCCATAAAATATTATTTATATTTGGTTTATTTTATGTATGATTCATATCCACGACACTATGTGTTGTCATATTTATCGTTAATAAAATGTGATTGGTATTTTCTTATTTATAATCGAAAAGAAAGGTTTCAAGAATTATACATTTTTGGAAAATTCGACTAGGGAGAAACAAAAGCCGTGTCCGATCTGACACTTGAATTTATTTTTGTTTTTTTCTGTGCTGTCAATATATGGGCCAATCTGTCCAGTAACATGTGATGCGTGTTGACAAGCCGCGATGCGTGTTGGCAACCCGCTACATCACTCCGCCCTAATGAAAAAGATTGTTTCGCATCTCTGACTGCCATTCTTGAACTTCCTTGTAAATTTCTTTTGGTTGAGATTGTGTGATAAATTTTATTTGTTTGTGGCCGTGGCCGTTTTGAATGCCGTGTTGGCTTGTTGAGTTTGTTGATTGCTTACGTGGCCCTTCGCTGGTGAGTTAGCGGTTGAGAAGATGTGGCCCTTCGCTGGTGAGTTAGCGGCTGAGTATATTTGACACTTCGCTGGTGAGTTAGCGGTTGATTGTATGTGGCCCTTCGCTGGTGAGTTAGCGGTTGATTGTATGTGGCCCTTCGCTGGTGAGTTAGCGGTTGAGTGTATATGGCGGTTGCCAAATTGTTTGCTGATGCTCCCTGTCTGTTGCCATGGTGCTTATAATCGACTTATTTACCAGGATAATAAGTGATTTATTGAGCACGTGTTGTTGTTGATCTTGAAGTGCGTGGTCGAAGTCTCAGTTGTATGCTTAGAGTGCTCTTCGAATTACGGTAGTTGTGAGTCATTTATAATAATTATTTATATTTTTAAAAATTCTTTTCTTAATAATTCTTGAGACTTCAATTTATTTTTTTTAACTTCAAAATATGTCTTGATCTTCTTACCTTCTTTTATGTGTGTTACTTGTTCACTCTCGGGGTCACCAAAATATGGAGGTGTGGTAGTCCTCCATATTAATACCAATATTATTTATCCAAATTGTAGTAATAATAAATTCCATAAAATATTATTTATATTTGGTTTATTTTATGTATGATTAATATCCACGACACTATGTGTTGTCATATTTATCGTTAATAAAATGTGATTGGTATTTTCTTATTTATAATCGAAAAGAAAGGTTTCAAGAATTATACATTTTTGGAAAATTCGACTAGGGCGAAACAAAAGCCGTGTCCGATCTGACACTTGAATTTATTTTTGTTTTTTTCTGTGCTGTCAATATATGGGCCAATCTGTCCAGTAACATGTAATGCGTGTTGACAAGCCGCGATGCGTGTTGGCAACCCGCTACAAACGTATACGCAGAAAAATATTAATGGTCAACAGTCTTTTTTATACAACCTCTATAAAAGCTTATACCTGCGTGGGTTAAAAAAAACGACTGAAGCTTTACTCTGGAAAAGGTATAAAAAAATAAAATAGTAAATTAAGTTATAAAAGAAATTTTTTTAATTCAACAAGAGTTAAATCAAATGAATAGTTAATTCAACTTTGCTAGTGAATATTTCTAACAAAAACCATACAAAGGTTATTTAAAGTGTTCTCTATAAAAATTTAACCCATAAAATTTATTTTTTGTATTGATTGAATATTATAGCTATTATTTTGTAAAATTTCTTCAAAATAAAATTAAGTCATTGGTCCTGTTTACCCAATGGCCGTCCTAATTCACTCCGCTATTAAAGTAAAAAGAACCAGGTTACGAATATTTGAAAAAACAAAAAACGCATTTCTACAATGATGAATTAGCTGGAAGTTTTACTGAACATAGTCAGATAGTTGTTTGTTTGATATGTGTTGTGATAATTGGTTTGATTTTTACAATATAATTGCTCCAAGTCAAATTGGACCTTTGTGCCCCGCCCTACCCCCTATTGCATTATCTCATTTTTTTCACTTGACAGAAATTTCTGTATAATTGAATGCTTCTATAAATAAAATGGACTACTCACCAATTGATAATATATTAACAATATATATATATATATATATATATATATATATATATATATATAAGCATATTTATAAACTCAACAATTAATCCTAACAATTTCACTCACAAATCAACACTTGAGTATATTTATAAACTCAATGATTATTTCTTACTATTTCACTCACAAATCAACACTCACGTTTATTTATTAACTCAACGATTAATTCTAATGAATCAACACTTACTTCAATTTAACACCGACTGAATGATGGGAAACACTATAGAAGGCTTCAAGTTTTCGGGGTTTTTCGTAACATACGGCACATTTTGCGATAATTCCCCGATCCTAGCTACTGATTTGAACTTCACTTATAGAAACCAATACAGATAAATCTAGTGTGCTCATTTTAAAGTGCGAATTCTTCGTTTAAAATTGAGATAAATGACTCTTTTATTGCAAACAAAATTATATTTAATAATTTTTTTTTTGTAAAATCTAATAAGTATTTTGAAGCAAAAAAGTAAATGTAGTATCCAGAGTTTTCAAATTGCCCCCCTGAATTTACAATTTGCCCCCCAGTTGCGCGTGCGCCCCACGTTAGGATACACTGGTCTAGACTTTCTAGACTATCGCCGGAGCTCAAACTGATTATATAAAATTTTGGCTATAAATTGAGATAATTAATACACATTATTATTATATTATTAGTTTATAATTTGAAGAGGTAACTATACACCTCCCCGTAACAATTATTTCTATTTCACAGTATCAGGAAGGGGCTCTTAATAGTGCAGTAAACGGAGAGGAAAAAAGGGTATAACCTCTGAATTTTTTTACTGTGCTCCGAATTGAATGAAATTTTGGAATTAGATTCATCTTACCCTCAAGTTCCAAAGTGAACACAATTCGGGTTGCGCCATCACCCCCTTGTGGGGTTGCGACCCCTTCTCAATTGCGTAATTACATTTTTTCAAAATAACATCGAAAATCGATAGAACTAATTATAAGATTAATATGTTTTTTATAGTTTTTCAAAAAAAAACTAATACTTTTCAAGCTACTGCCCACTAAAGATTCATATATTTTTGGCATTTTTCTTCGTTTTTTTGCAAATATCTTCTAAAATATACATTTTAACGAAAATCATGTAATGAACAAAATAATGTCAATAAAAATCTTAATAAATCGGTATTACATAAAGTGTTCTAGCAAAAATATTAAGCAAGATTTGAAAGAGCAAACTCGTTTTTCATTTCGTTCAAGATTTAATTGTTGTATTGAAAGCCATCTAGTGTCGAGGTTTTACATTTTATGCATTTCGGTGAAATTAGATTTTATAGTGCTCAACATAAGCTTTAAAATGAGTGCTATTACAAGTTTTTTTCGTGTAAAATGAGTGAGCTATCATGCAAATAAGAAGCATATACGAAGTTTTTTTCTTTTAAATCATATGGTTTAATGAGCGCCATTTCCACCAGAATTAAAGTAATTCACATTCCACCTAGAATTCACTTTATTATAGACATTTTGATCGATTCTAGCAGATTCACTACTTTAGTACAAACTATTTTCAGAAAACTCACGATTTTATAAAAACTTTTTTTTCCAATTTGCGCGGCCGCGCAGTCTTTAAACATTCATAACTCTGTCAAGTTTTGTGTGAAAGAATAATAATAAAAAACAAAAATAAGCCAGAAAGAATTCTTTGACTTTTATCTATATGCTTTTATACGTATCTTTCATTCTTTTTGAGATATAATGAAAATAATTTCGATTTTTAAAAAAAAAGAAAAAAAAAGTTTTTATAAAATCGTACTATTCCTCATACTGTCCCAGAAACTATAAGATAAATACTATTATTTCCCTTACAGACCATGCTATTTTGTTGTCTCACCAAACTTTCCATCCACAAAACTTATCCCTAGTAAAAATAACTCTAATTGAAAATGGTTACCCAAAAAATCTCATTCATTCAGTTATTCAAAAAAGACGAACTTTTTTAAAAACACAAATTAATTCTCCCAATACTAGTACCAACATCAAAAACACCAATCTTATTTACTGCAGCATACCATACGTTGAAGATTTATATTATTATTTTGCCAAAATTTTGTTAGAAGAAAACATTTTAGTATCAGGCTCATCCTTACACTCCTTCAACCAATTCTTTACGAATATTAAATCCCCTACCCCATCCAATTTCAATACTAATGTAGTATATTCTGTTTCTTGTAATGACTGTGCTTTTCAATATATTGGACAAACCTCGCAATATGTACACAAGAGAATGAGACAACATGAACTAAGTGTGGTCCACCATAAACAAAAAAATTTCAAAAGTACCCTAGTACAACACTCTATAGAAAACGCCCATTCATTTAATT